GCGAGGGACGCGGGGCCGAAGCAGCCGGCTCTCGTCGCACAGGGCGAGGGGTCAGATGCCGAGACGGCTGCCGTCGACAAACGTTTTGCGTGTTTTGCGCTGTCAACAACTGCCGGGCACCGCTGCATCAAGCTGGCGCAGAAGGCCGCTGATGAGCTCGTGTCGGATCTCGCGGTTGAGGCCGTCGTCGCGGTCGGAGAGATCGATGACCTTCCGCTGCGACGCTTGCGCGGAGGCAGCAATTGCGGCGTGCCGACGCCGACTGATGACGTGGATGACAACGGCTTGCCACAGCGCCACGCGCTCCGGATGCGGCACAACATCTTGGCGACGTGGTGTTCGCCAGGCGTGGATCACGTCCTCGGTGCGGAACGGCGACGCCAGGAAGGTCCCCGGTGCCAGCTCGTCGAGCACGCGAAGCGCGTGAAGCCAGACAGTCCGGACCTCAGGGCACTGGACGTAGCCGTGTGCGACGCTGTCGGGAGCAGCGCAGCGGCGCATTGGGCAGGTGCCGAGGCGGTAGTCGCGCCGCAGGATCTCGTCGTCCGTCTGCCGAGGTACGGAGATGACGTCGGCGACGCGCGGCGGTTCTGGCACAGGTGCCACGGGCTCGCCTGCTTCTGGCTCGAGTCGTTCGGCTTCGACGATGTCATCCTCGTCGCCGACGTCCTCGTCATCGTCGTGGTCGTCGAGACGGTCCAGGCCAGCTGCCAGCGCCTCTTGGACGTCGATGTCCGAGGAGGCGTCGTCCTCGTCGGCAGTCTCTGGCAGGAGCAGAGCGTCGTCGTCTTTGTCGTCGTGCTCGACGCGGTCCGCATAGTTGGCGCGTCGCAGGTGTATCTGCGAGAGCCAGCATCGCCGGTGCAGGCAGACCCACAGGTCACTCAGCGCCGCTGGCGAGACGGGCAGCGCACGCGATGACGTCCAGGTGCGCTGCCACACGTCCGCCGTTCCCGCTGCGCCCTTGAGGTCCCAGTCTGGGACGATCGCGGTGCGAGCTCCCGCTTCGGCGAGGAACGTGCGGCCCTTGCGGACCGTGTACTCCGCGAGGGGGACGCCGGCGAACGTCGCAAAGCGCCACGGGAAGAGGTAGTGCGCAGCGTCGAGATGCCGAAGGGGCCGATCATGCGAGCGCACGCCGCGGTGCGTGCCTGCCCAATCGTCGTGCGGGCCGTACGAGATCACCGCGGCGGTGAGGAGCTCGCGCGCTCTCGGGTGCATGTTGCGCCAAAAGGCGTTCCAATGCGACTTCTTGAGCGTTCCGGCCGCGAGTTTGAAGACGCGCGGATTCGCAGGTCCAAGTCTCGAGCGACGGTAGTTGAAGTCGATGCCGCGAGGTGAAGGGGGCGTGATCGGCAGCGAGTAGAAGCACCATTTTCTCCAAGCGTCGTAGCCGCCATCCTCGTAGCCGCGGTACCATAGCACGTCGGCTATCGAGAGGAAGTTCGCGACGGAACGGAAAGAGTACGCGGCGTCGCGCAGCACCATTGCGGGCCAGTCGTAGCCCCACAGCGGATGCACCCACGGCAGAGCGAGGAGCTCATCCGTGGTGATGACCTCCCAGTTGACGACGAGATCGAGGCGAAGCTCCTTCAACGTGTACAGCGCCCGATCGAGGAAGGAGGCCGACGCGGTCATGGCGTTGATGCGACGCCAGGCGCGCCCTCGACGAACGAGGAAGCGCGCAGGCAGCAGATCGCGGGCTAGCATCGCTTGGTGGATTCCGTGAGCAAGCTGTGCGCCAAGCGAGGGCCCTGCGGTTGGATCTGCCACGTACGCGGCCAGCAGGCGGGCGAGGTGCGCGCCGAACATTGGCAGCCATACGGCGAGGGACGTTTTTTTTTTTGCTCGGCTGAGACAAAACATAATTCCTAGCAGAGCTAGGCCTTTCACTGTCGTAAATTGTCATCCTTATGCAGGGGCAATGCTAATCTTCTCTGTATTGTTCCAAGTTTAATGAATGCTACCCCCTAGGGGGTGCAGCGACCTTCCGGCGCTCTCGCCGCTGTGTAATCCGTGGTAAAGTGTGCCCCCGCGCCGCAAGATGGCGTCCGACGTCGGGGGCAGGCGCGCAGTGCCCGCGCGGAACGCGTCTCTCACGCGCGGGCCTGCTAATCGCGCTTGGATTCTTGAGGGGCCCCGGAAATCGCGACATCGCGGTTTCTCGGTCCCTACGCCTCCCTGTACCCTGAAACCTAGTTATTCATGCTCTGCAGCCTCTCCTGAATCGGCTCGTAGCATTTTGAGGCCGCTAGGACCCCGCGTCACCGATCTGCGGCCATGCGCGCGCCCCGAGCGCCGGGAGCCGCGAAACCGCCGCAGCCCGCTCCCTTTCTGCGCAGCTATTCGGAATCTGCGTTAAGAATCGACCCGTTGTACTCCCGGGCCGCTGGGGCCCCGCTTGACCGATCTGCGGCCATGCGCACGGCCTGAGCGCCGGGCTGTGGCCATGCGAGTTTCCGGAGGACGCCAGCGCCGCCCTGCGGGCGGCGCAAAGCAGCAGGAAGCGTGTCAGACGCGCGCGTCCACGTCGCCGCGCTGGCCGCAAGCGTCCACTCCGCGCGCTGACCGCACGTCGGCGCCGCCTTGACCGCGGCCGTGAGCGTCATCGCGACCTGGACCCGCCGCGTACGGCAGCGTCTTTAACATTACAGCACGAAGGTGCAGCGGCCTTCAGATGCTGATGGGCAAGAGGAGAAGCAAGCAGGCGGAGAGGTGCCTCTCGGAGTGCTACGTCATTGCGACGCTCGGGTGCGGCAGCTCTCGCACGTGCGCACGCCGCGCGTGCAAGCCGGCGGCCCGAGGCGCGAGAGCGAGGCGGCCGAGGCGGAGCTCGATGCTTCCCACGCCCGTCGCCTTCTCCACACGGGCGACGCGCCGCCGACAAGCGAGTGTCTCGCGCCTCGCCTCTCGCCTCTCGACTGCCACTCACCCTCACCCGTGTCCAGCTAACCCTCGCGCCCGTCTCTTCACCGCCAACTGCTCGCGTCTCCGCGCTCTACGTCGCTTGCGCCCCTCGCCTCTCCTGCGCGCATCATGGCCGCGCCGCAGCGCCTGCCCGACGGCGTCACGCCGGCCGATCTGGCCGCCAATGGCGCGCCGCTGCAGCAGGGCACCACGCCCGCGCTGGCGCTCGACGGGCTGCTCCTGCCGCCCATGGCCACGCCCGATGCTGCTGCTGCCACCACGCCCAGCGCTGCGCCGCGCCTCAAGGCCACCGTGTCGTCCGAGGCGCCCGCCAAGCTCAAGGTGAGGCTCCTCCGCACGCCGCCGAGAGCCCGCCGCTGACCCACCCACGCTGGCCAGCGCCGCCGCCGGCTCAACCCGCCGCCGGGCGCGGGCTTCGGGCCGATGTACAACGTCATGCGCTTCATCGGCGAGCGCTGCACCAGCCACTTCTTCAGTCGCGTCAAGGTCATCGGCGGCGACGACGTGCCCAAGCAGGGCCCAATCATCGTCTGCTGCTCGCACTTCTCGTGAGTGGACGTGTGAGAGAGGAGATGGGATGCACTCCGCTCAGGCCATGGGTTGCAGCACAATCATGGACGTCGCCGTCATCAGCGCGCACCTGCCGCACCGGCGCCCCATCCACTACTGGGCCAAGCGTACGTGCCAGGCGCCCGCTGCCACCTCCCCCCTGCTGAGGCCAGCTCTCCACATGCAGGCGGCCTGTACAAGCGGCAGCCCTTCCGCTGGATCCTGCACTCGTCGGGCAACATCATGGTCGACCGCAAGACGAAGAACAACCAGGATCTGTTTGCGGGCACGTTTGAGGCCATGAAGGCTGGCGAGGCCATCGGTCTCTTTCCCGAAGGTCAGTGCGCTGCGCGGGGGGGTGCGCTGCAAGACATCAAGACTGATGTACGCTGCATCACGCAGGCGGCTCGTACACGGAGCATCGGCTCCATGGCATGAAGGCTGGCGCTGCTTGGGCGGCGCTCGAGTTCGCAAAGGTGAGCAGCGCTGGCGTGCTGAATGAAGACCTCCTCTGACACGTAGCAGCACCTGGTGCTCGAGGGCGAGGGCGATCCGATGCACACGTCGCTGCGCATCGTGCCCGCCACAATCAACTACACCGAGAAGAGCCGCTTCCGCGGCGAGGCCGTGTTCCAGTGAGAAGAGCGCGGGAAAGGGCAGCTTGCAGGCGGCATGCTGAGTCGCTTGCTCCGCAGGTTCGGCAAGGTCTTCTCCGTCGACGAGTACACCAAGGAGTTCCTCTCTGGCGCCGCGCCGCCAGAGCAAGCCGAGTACTTCGCTCCGCGCGCGCCGACGATGAACGGCGCTGCCACGCCTGCGTTTCCCGGCTCCTCTCTGCGGCTCGGCCTCGACACGGCCGGCGGCGCCTCTGGCGTCTCTGCGCCGCCCACGCCGGGCGTGGGCGACGGCGCAGGTGCCGACGCCGCCGCGGCCGCCGCCAAGCGTGCCGTCGCGCGCCTGACGGACCGCATCGGGCAGGAGCTGTACAAGCTGACCATCGATGCGCCCACGTGGAAGCATTGGCACGCCACCAAGATGGCGCGCGAACTCATCTGGTGGCGCCAAAACACCATTCCGCTCGAGGACTTTGTGACGATCTCCAACTCGTGCGTATATGCTGCTGGCGCCGCGTCGTCTTGCAGCTGCTGACGCAGCACTGCTAGCTTCATCAAGCTCCTGGACTCGTCCGACCCGGCTGCCAAGAATGCCCTCGACGCCCTCTTTTCGCTGCAGGCCTTCTCCCTCGCCGCATCAGTCGACGTCTTCACGCTCAATCAGATCGCTCGGCGCCTCAAGCCCTCGAACCGCGCGGCCATCGGCTCGCCAGCCAAGAGCGACCTCGATGCGCGCGCGGCGCAGGCGGCGCTGCCGCGCCTCGTGCCGACGACGCTCGTGTTCGTGCGCGAGCTCGTCAAGCTCGCCGTGCGGCTGCCCATCGTGGTGCCGCTCATGCTCGTCTATGCGCCGGCCTACGTCATTGGTGCCAGCCTCAGCCTGCGCTATGCCAGCCACGAGGAGGAGAGCATGGCGAGCGCCAAGAGTCTCTGGTGAGTGTGTCGTCGTCAGCCTGACAGCGTCTCGCCACGCGCCAAGCTGCGGCCCCGCTGACGCTGCCTGCACGCACCCCCGCGCAGTGCCTTCCCCATTGCGTTCCTGACGCACTTGTTGCTCATCAGCGGCATTGCCGCGCTCTTCCTCTTCACGCCGCCCGGCTGGCTTGTGGGCCTTTGCCTTTCGCTGCTCATTGAGCGAGTGCATCTGGCGCTCATCGACGGCACGTATGCGCGTCTGAAGCGCATCCACGCCCTGGCGCGCGTGTGGGTGGCCGCGCTGCCTGCTGCCTCCAAGCAGCTCGGGCCCAGCGACGCGGCCGCGGCGCTGGCGCTCGAGGCCTACCTGGAAGGCACGCCCGTGCAGTTCACCTTCAAGCGTGCCCTGCGCCAGAAAGGCCTCGCAAGACCCCTGCCGCATCGCCTCGCGGGCCTGGCCCTCGCCGCACACGCGCGCGCCGCAGAGGCGCTCGATGCGCTGCTCGAGAGTGCCCAGCAGCAGCACAGCGACGCCGACGTGGCGGAGGAGCAGCGCGCCGCGGCCGAGTTCATCGTGTCGCGCATGCCGCCCTCCAAGCGGCGCATGCGCTTCAAGTCGGCCTGAAGCCGCGCGGCGCGCTCTCAGGACCCACTCAGCCACTCCGCGCGCGCGCGTTGCCTCCCCCACCCATCTGCCTCTGCTGCCCCCCTCTGCCTCAATGCCACATCTTCAACGGACTCGGCACCAGCGGCGTGAGGCAGCAGTGATGCTTGATATTAGTGACACTCTTGCCTCTCTCGATCGTCCGTACCCGCCCGGGCCACGCTGTGCGGGCGCCCCTCAGGCATCGCCACGCTGTGCCATGAACGCTGAGAATGGCTCGAGCACCTCGCGCGGCACGGCTGCGAGCAGCTGCGACACCTTTGGGAAAGAGGCGCGGGTCAGCCCCATGCGCTTGCATCGCCATCGTACCAGCCTTGCGCACCTGTGCGGCATCGCGCCGCCTCAGAGCCGCAAGCTGCTGGCTGAGAAAGACGCGCGCATCGGCGCCGGCAAAGGGCGCCGCCGCATCGCGCACGGGCGCCGCCGAGGCGGCGAGCACCGAGAAGCTGGCCTGGAAGCCCGTGTCCTCCCAGTCCTGCGCAAAGATCTCCTCCTCCTCGGCCTGCCCGCCCGTCGAGACGACGGCCTGCTCCTGCAGCAGCTGCAGCACGGCGGCCATGGCAGCGGGCCTGGTGGACGCATGTCAGCGCAACTCGAGATGTAAGTGACGCAGACAAAGACTCACCACGCGCCAACGTTTGGCGGCGACAGCATGGCCGAGCCCTGCGTCAGGAGACGCGCCAGGCCCGTGGCCACCACTCGCCGGCGGCGCTGCGGGATCTTCTTCAGGTCGGGCACGATGACGCCTTGCAAAATCTGCGGGAAGAGTCTGGCAAGGACAATTGTCAGCCTCCCGTCTCGAGCTGCTGTTCCCGACCTCGGCTCACCCAGGCTGCACGGCATCAAAGGCAAGCACGACGTAGTCCGGATACTCTGGCTGCTGCGTGCACGCCCACTCGGCGACGAAGCCAATGAAGCCGCGCGAGAACTTTTCCGTCTTGCTCGTTTGCAGGCGCGTCAGCATGAGCGTGAGGACGGCCTTCTTGTACTGGTCCATCTGCGCGGCCGACACGTTCGCAAAGAGACTCTGCAGCAGCTCAAAGCCATACTCGTCGTTGATGCGGCTGGAGATGAGCTGCTGGTAGATGCCGAGGATCGGCGAGATCTGGTTGTTTGCCGCAATCTTGGCGCCGCCGCGTGCCAGGAAGGCCTGCAGCAGACGCACGAGCGCAGGCACGTTGCCGCGAGATTGCCACAGCGTCGGCGTGAGGAGCGAAGGCAGCAGCGCCACGTACGACTGCGGCATCGCGTCGCCCTTGTGCAGCTCGAGCATCTGCGACAGCACCTGGAAGACGTAGGGCGCAAACTCTGCGGGCCGGCCCGAAGCGATGCGTGAGCGCCACTTCGACGACGAGCAGCAGAGGCGAGTCTCACCGGTGACGTCGTTCTGCAGGATGTTCATGAAGGGCCCAGAGAGCCTCTGCTCGAAGCCGGCAACTGCCGAGGCATCCGCGGCCGTCACGTATCTGTCGGGCGCGCATCAGCAAGGCGTGCTCCAGGCGCCGCAGCGACGCAGCACACGGACCGGATGAGGGCCGAGATGCTCTCGAAGCAGAACTGGCTGAAGCGCGGGTTGCTGGGATTCTTGGAGATCTCGACGAGGATGGCCGTCAGGCGCTCGAGAATTGGCTGATGGAAGGGCGCCAGCGCCTCGCGACACGTCAAGATGACCCGCATGACACCTGCGCGCACGCTGCCATCAGCCGAGGGAGCGGGCCGCATGGTGCAAGTGCAGGCGACGCACACTTCATGAGGTAGTCGTTCTCTGCCAGCTTCTCGGGCGTTGCGCCGCTCTGGATGTTGCGGAAAAGCGCCATGAGGATGCTCTCTGCGAACGGCTGCACGTCGGCAGAGGTGAAGCTGCAGGGTCCATACGTGAGTGCCAGCTGCGCCTGTCTAGCCCGCAGATGACTCACAGCAGACGCCGGTCCTGCTTGATGAACAGCACGCGCTCGATGGTGATGGCGGCGTACGAGCATGTGACGTAGTTCTGCGACTCGAGATGCCGCACAAGGAGCGGCAGCACGGAGAGGAGCTGCTCCTTGGTGAGCTGCAAGTGGAGAGAAGGTTAGCAGGCGTCAGACACACACGGACACACGCAGGCGGCACTCGCCTGCTGCCGAAATGTGTGCAGGTACTTGATGGCGTCGACCTGCAGGATCGGGTGCACGGTGCTGGCGTCGGCCTGCAGGTCCTCGAACACATGGTCCGAGAAGAACTGGACGACGTCGACGAGGTTGTTCATTGACGACGCGCCGTGCTGAGCGGATTGGCGATGCGCGTCAGCCCGAGATGCGACAGCTCGCGCCCAAACAGCGCGCCACACACCATTGTCGTGCCGCCCGTGCTGGCGATGGAGCTGAGCAAGTACACGGCCGTGTCCTTGCCGCGCCACTTGCTGCGGTCGCCGGCGTACTCCTGCAGGAACTGGCCCACGTAGCGGCTGATGATGGCGGTGATCTGCGACGAGAACTGCTCCAGCAGCGCGCGAGTGAAGCTCGTGGCGCTTCGTCGCCGAGTCTCATTCTCTGCGACCCGCATCGCGTCAGTCGCACTTCAACAGAGTTTGGCATCTCTGGCACCCACCTCCACCCTCGCTGGCGAACTCGCGCCGCACCCATTCCATCGGCTCATCCTCAAACATCTCCTCGTCGGCCTCGCGCAGCGCAATGTTGGGCAGGATGATGGCCTGCACAAAGGCCTCGAGGGTCGCGTCTGCCTCGAAGTTGCTGCGCTGCGAAGGCATGCGCACGATCGTCGAGAGGAGCGAAATGGCGCGAGACACGAGCTGAGCACGGCAGATGGCCTCAGCGATCCGCGCAGCACATTGGTGTGTGCCGCACACGGCGCCTGTTCGCGTGGGGCGCTTCGAGCCAACTCACCAGGTCGTACTTCTCGCCCTTGCCGCACACTGCCTCATTGCCCAGCATCTCCCACACACCCTTGACAAACGCCGGCACAAAGTCGCCAAAGGCATCCAGATACCGCTGCGAGTAGAGCTCTGCGATGGAGCAGATCTCTGCGCGAGCTCGTTGCGGCGACGCCGGGCTCGTGTCGTCTGCGTCGCCCTCGAGCGCCGCGAGCGCCGGGTTCAGCGAGTACACGCCGGGGCTGGAGGCGTCGCCGGAGGTGGGGTTGAGGTGGCGCAGAAGCAGAGGCATAAAGGTCGACAGGCTGTCCTCGAAGGCGGGCGGCAGGTCCTGGGCCGACAGGTCGTGGTAGACCTGTAGGCAGAGCACGAGCGATGCGGCAACTTCGGGCTGCGGCTGAGGAGAGGCGACGAGCGCCTCGTCCGTGCGCTGGAGAGCAGCCAGTGAGCACTTGGCAGCTGCGCCAGACAAAGCACCGCTTACCTTTAGCAGGTCAAGGAACGGCGAGGCGAAGCGGTCCAGCACAAAGATGATCTGCGTGTAGAGCTCGTTGGAGCGGAACGCGGCGCGCCATCGGCGGAAGATGGAGTGGGCGGTGTGCAGCACGGCCGAGAGTGCCGGGCTGCCGGGCGGCAGTGCGAGGCCCGAGACGAGCTCGTCGATGAGCGTCGGCCAGCGCTCGGGAAAGTCCTTGTTGGCAATGAGGGCGACGCAGTCGGCCAGCTGCAGGCGCAGGCTGGCGCTGCTCTGGGCCGCCTGCGCCGCGCCGCTGCTGAGCTGGGCGATGAGCGGCAGGAGGCGCTGCTTGAGCACGTCGCGCTGCGCCGGCGGCACGAGGGAGCAGTCGGCGGCCTCGCTCTCCTCGTCCTCGGCCCACGCGCGGCGCGCCATGTTCTTGAGCTTGATGGCCGCCGCGAGGCGCACCGAGGGCGCGGCGCCGGGCTGCGCGACGAGGTCGAGCAGCGTGCCGCAGAGCGACGCGGCGGCACTGCTCTCGAGCTGCGTCAGGTGTGCCTCGGCCGTCTTGCGCTGCGCCGGCTCGAGCGTCTGCTGGAAGAGCGTGGCCAGCGCGCCGAGGTCGACAGACGCGGACATGGCGGCGAGCGCGCGGGCACGGCAGCCAGATGCGAGGGCGGCGGCGGTGGCTGAGAAGGGAGGTGTTGAACAAAGACGCAGCAGGCGAGCGGGCGTCTCGATGAGGGAGAGGGTCGGACGAGAGCGAGGCGCGCTCTGACTGACTCTGAGCTCATCAACAGACCAACACCCAGCAGCGCCGCGCGCGGCGCACAGACAGGCCGAGCCGGAAGAGAGCAGCTGAGGCTCTCGCTGGGCTGCCGTGCGGGAGGAAGCGCGGCCAAGGTCGCGCGCTGCCGTTACGTAAGCTAAAAGTTGCCGTGCGCGCCCGTCCTCTCGCGCGCCTCCCGCCGCTGGCCTTCTTGGCTCCTCACACACACACTCGCCCGGCCTCCGTCCGCCGTCCGCGCTCCTGCCCAGCAGTCGCTGCCTGCATCTCTCGTCCCCGCATCAAGCGCGTGCAGCTGCCGCGCCGCTCGTCGCGCCCGCCCGCTCGGCTGCCGCGCGTGGCCCTCGCTCCCTCTGCTCCGGCGCGCCATGCCCGACTCCTTCTTCGAGCGCAAGCGCAAGCGGCCCGCCGCCGCCGCCGCCGCCTCGGGCTCAGGAGGCAAGGGCGGCGCCTCTTCCAGCCGCGCCGCCTCACGACCGCAGCGCAAGGCAGCCGCCACCAAGCCGGCGCGAGATGCCGGCGGCGACGAGTCCGACGAGGGCGAGGGCGCAGTGGAGGGCATGGACCTGCGCCACGAGTACGAGCACAGCGTGCGCAGCGAGGACGAGGACGAGCAGGAGACGCCGGCCGAGGCGCGCGTCCGCCTGGCGCGCATGTATGTCGAGGGCATGCGCGGCGACGACGTCGGTGAGTGGACCAGGGGCCCTCATGCTCAGCGTGCACCTTCATCCACGTGTGGCGGCCGCAGTACTGACGCCTTGCTCCAGACCCAAACGACGCTGATGCTGCTGCGGCCGACGAGGCCAACATTGCCTCTCGCCTCGCCAAGTCGGCCTCGTCGCACGGCACACACGTGCATCTGCGTCTTGCCTCGCGCCTGCAGCGCCCTGCGCCGGCCGGCATTCTCGCCACGCGCGGCCACTCGCTCTCCGTCACATGCGCCGTGACTTCGTCGCGCAGCGACAGCCTCTACACGGCCTCCAAGGACGGCTCCATCGTGCGCTGGTCGCTGCGCGACGGGCACATGGTGGCGCGCACTCTGCCTCGCAGCCGCGCCACGACGGGCGAAGATGCCGCTGCCGCCCCTGCTCCTCGTGCGTCGAGCAGCCGCAAGAGTGGAGCCGCGCGCCGCGCCGCTCGCGCACGCGGAGCAAATGCTGTGCCGAGCTCCGTCGTTGGAGAGGCAGAGGGGCATACCGACGAGGTGTGGAGCCTCGCGCTGACCGACGACGCCAGCCTGCTCGCCTCGGGCGGCCCGGATCGTCGAGTCGCGCTGTGGTCTTTGGAGCCTATCACCGCGAGCACGTCGTTGGCCCTGCGACGGGAAGAGCGTGCTGCCAGCTCGCCGGCTCCACGATGGCTCAGCGGCCTGGGCGGGCACAAGGATGCAGTGACGGCGCTGGCGTTCCAGATGGGCTCTAGCCAGCTGTTGAGCGCCAGCAATGACCGCACGCTCAAGCTGTGGGACGGCACGCAGCGCTCCTACATCGAGACGCTCTTCGGCCACCAAGAGCCGGCGCTCAGCGTCAGTGTGCTGCGCGGCGAAGTGGCGGCCTCTGCGGGCGGCCGGGATCGCACCGTGCGCTGGTGGAAGATCAGAGACGAGAGCCAGCTCGTCTTTCGCGCCGGCGCGCGCAGCCGCGTGCGCGAGGTCATCGAGGGCGGCAGCTGGGAGAAGGCGGACAAGGACGAGGGAGAGCAGATTGTAGAGGGCAGTGTGGAGTGCGTGGCGATGGTCGACGAGCACTGCTTCATCAGCGGCGGCGACAGCGGGTGAGTCTACGCGAGCTTGCCGCTTCGCGCACGATGCCATGCGCATCCCCTAACACGCCCGTCTCTCTTCTCTCTCTCTCGATCGACAGCGCACTCTCGCTCTGGTCGCTGTCAAAGAAGAAGCCCGTGCACACAAAGGCTGCCGCGCACGGCTTTGACGCCCTTGCGTCTGGCGGCACGGCGACTGGCTCTGCGCCTTCTCCGCGCGCCATCACGGCCGTAGCATGTCTTCCCTACTCTGACGTCTTCGCCAGCGGTGAGTAGGCGTGCCCCCGAATGCCGGGCCTGCTCTCTCATCTGCTGACCTTGTCGCTGCGCAAGGCTCGTGGGACGGCGAAGTACGCCTCTGGGGCCTGGACCAGGGTCTGCGCACCTTCTCTCTTCTGTTCTCTGTTCCCGCCGTCGGCTTCGTCAACAGTCTGCAGCTCGTGCGACCGCGTCTGGCGCCCCTGGCCTCCAGCTGGCGTCGGCGGGGCGGCCTTACGGCAGCCACTGCCTCCTCCGAGTCCGACGTGCCGGGCCCGGCAGAGGAGGCGAATGGCGATGCCAATGGCACGGCGGCGGAGCCCGTGGCCAAGAAGGAACGCAGCCCGCTCCTGGTCGTCGCGCTGGGACAGGAGCCAAGACTGGGCCGCTGGATGCGCCAGCCGGCGGCGCGCAACGGCGCACTCGTCGTTCCGCTCGCGCTCTCCTAATGGGAACCTTGTACGAGTGGCCCTAGCAGCTGTAGCTCCGTGTGTGAAACGCGAGGGCAGCAGGTCTTTCTCTCTCTCTCGGAGCGCAGCGCCTGTGCGAGGTAAAGATGACTTGAAGGCTGCAAAGACTACATGCTTCAGGGGACAATGGGTGACGCCGGGCAAAGCTGTGGTATGCGAGGAAGGTAGGAATGAAGGGTGCCAGTTGGGGGGGGGGGGGGGAGGGGCAATTGCAGAGGGCGGCGCGGTCAGGAAGAGATGCGGCTCTGTGCCTGCACGTGGCGCAGCGCGGCCGAGAGGGCCTCGGACGTGGCGAAGCTCGGATGCAGGACGGCCTCGCCACGCGGCCCGGCGTACGCGGCGATCTCAAAGACGTAGACGCGCACGAAGGCCTCGACTTTCTCGAGGAGATCTGGGAGCGAAGAAGAGGAAGAGCCAGGGTTTCAGCGGCCCTGCCTGCCAGCCAAGAAGCAAAGTCTGGGCTGCCTGCACAACTACAAACTCACAGCGACCCTCGTTGGCGAGCATGAAGCGGCCCTTGCGCTGCACGAGCAACAGCAGGAAGCCAGCGCAGTGCGACAGAAGCTGTTGACAGCAGAGAGGGATCAGCCTGCGTAGGTGCCGAGTCACCGGTAGCGTGTTTGCACGCACAAAGTGATAGAACGTCGGCAGGTAGGCCAATCGATCACCGAACGCCGCACGGCTGCTTGCGAGTTCGAGGGCCCAGAGCGCACTGGCCTTTGCGGCGCCGACGGCGGCGATCTGGCTCAGCGCAAAGTGCCCGTCCGACGCGGCGGCGGCGGCGGCGGCCGGATGCATGCCCGCCTCGGGCTCCAGCGCCAGCGAGCCAATGTGGGCGCGCGCCAGGTGGTACGTCAGAGTGAGATCCATGGCCGAGGCCGTCGAGCTCGAAAGATCTGTTGCGTGTGCGCGCGCACAAACGGTTCAGTCGCGCGCGCCTTCTTCGACGAAGGGCACCCCCCCTACCACTCACCTTCGAGAGCAGCAGCCTCCATGCGCCAGCGGTCCATCTCCTCCAAATACGCGCCCCACGCATTCGACACTCGCCGGGCAGCCTGCGCCGGCGTGCCCGAGGCGTTTCTGCTTTCTCGCTGAGTCTGTTGCGCCGCCAACAAGACGGCCAGCACCCCTGCGTGTGCTCCCAGCTGTCGATCTACCGCGTACTTGTGAGCAAGAGTGATTCGTCGAACAGCCGCCAGCCTTGGCGCCAGACAGGCCGTTCGAGGTTGCTCACCGGGCATAGGGGGCACTCGGCTAGCTGCATTCGCCGCCTTGTCGCCATTCTGCGGCTGCTCGGCAAACGCAGAGCGCAGCGCTTCGATGTAGGGAGCTGGACTCTGCGCGGGAGCAATGCTGGGCACGTCGGCGATGAAGCACTGCTGTGCCTCGGCCACATAGGCCGCCAGCCAGACGCGAAGCTGCACGAGAACAAAATGGCGTCAGACGTGGTGCGATTGCTGGTGCGCTCGTCGCGACCCCACTGCGCCTCACCTTGTCGACCAAGTCGATCTGTCGAAACGGCGGCAGAATCGTCAGGCATTCGCCGAGGGTGACGTTGCGCTCGATCTCAAAGAGCTTGAAGTAGCCCAGCGCCCACCAGCGACAGATGTGGCCGATGCGCAGCGCCACGGCCGACGGCAGATACGCCGCCGCAATGCACGCGCCAGTGATCTCCTCGACGCCAATGCCAAACTCGGGGTCGAGCGGCAGGTCGGCAGAGACCGTCTGCTCCGGCTTGATCGTCTCCAGACAGTCGTTCTTCAGCTCTGTGGCGAAAGAAGGGGGGGGGGGGTCAGCCCCGGGGCAAAGAAGCGGCAGCTGCTGCTGTCGTGTCACGCACTGGCGTAGTACTCCTCGCGCGAAGCTGGGTCGTGCATGCTAGCTGTGGTGTGTTCTCTGTGTCAGCCGAGGGCGGTGGTAGAGAGAGATGGTGGTGGAGGGGGCTGGGGAAGATGGCTCATGTCTGCTTTCGCAGGGACACGCACCACACATCAAGATCACGCTGATGATCTGCCGACGCCGAGAGCGTCAGCACAACAAGCCAGGGCGCTGTAGGGGGGCGTCAGCACAACGCTCACCAATGGCGTCATGTCCGCGTTCGCCGGATACGTCGGAAAGCCAAAGCAATGCGGCTGCAGCTTCTCGGCAAAGAGTTGGTAGAGTGCGCGTGCTCGCTCCATCGGCACCACGCCCATGCTGATCGCATTGAGGCGCGGATCGTCTCGCCCGATGGCGTTGTTCGCCTTGGCATAGTCGCTGCTGCTGCCCCACGTCCAGCGCACCACGGCGCCGCTCTGCGGCAGGAAGAAGGGCGCAGACGTGGCGCCTACGTGCAGCAGTGCCGGACTGGGATAGGCCTGATCTTGCCCGATGGGCGGCGCCGCCAGCCGGCGAAAGGTAGGCTGCGCCTGCGCGATCGGCGAACGTATGGAGCCGCCCGGCGTCGTTGCTGGTGGCCCACGCGCGTCGTCGTCGGCCTGCGTAGGTCGACGATAGGGGTGTGGTCGTTCCCATCGCGCATTGACGCCAGAAGGACGCTCATGATCAGGCGTCGGCATGGAGGAGGGGTCGCCGCCGCCGCTCGAATGCAGAGAGCCCGGACCGGCCATGCCCATTGGCGGCGCGTCGGAGTAGGAGGGCGAGGAGTTGGGAAAGGACGCTGGCGGTCGCTGTGTGGGGGGAGGGGGCAAAGCCAGGAGCACAGCTCTCCGTCAGCAAGCGGTAGCGCATGGCTGTCAGCAACAAGCAACGCACCTGATGATGCGGCGGACTCGCTGCCCATCCTGCGCTCACAGCGCGATGATGCGGCGCGCCGTTGGGCGGCATGGGAATCGCATGCGCAGGCGGCGCGCCATTCATCATGCCGCCTCCACTCGACGGGCCAGCGGCGGGGCGATGCAGCAGACTCTCCACGGCAGACGCCAGGCGCGACAGCGTGTCGTCCGTCTTTTCGCGCCACGTCTCGTCGTCGGCGCGCAGGCGGAACTTGCACTCTTGCCGCGTGTCGGCACACCGGCGACACGGCGGCGAGCCGGTGTGGATGCACTTGACCTGCGAGGTGGGCAGAGATGGGTGAGTAGGCTTCGAAGCAGCAGGTGCAGAAGCAAGAGAGCGCAAACGCGAGCAAGCTGTGCCGTGGCCGCATGTTTGCCTCGCTGCGCTTTTGTTCCTGCTCCTGTTTCTGTTCCTGCTTCCCATGTGCAAGCTCCCTCGTTCCTGACCTGCCGCAGCGCGTGCCCTGCGCACTCTGCCCTACACCCGACTCTACGCACCTTGCTTCTCCTACAGCTGACACAGGCGCGCTGGCTCTTGATTTCGCCGGTGTGCATCTCCATGCTATCGTCATCGCCTCCTCCGCCGCCGCCGCCGCGGCCGCCGCCAGGCGACTCCGAGCCAAACTGCTGCTGCTGCTGCTGCTGCGGGTGTGGCCGTGAAGAGCCAGGCGCCGCGACGGACGTGTAGCCGTGCATCTGCATCTGCGGCGGCGCGTCGGAGCCGCTGCGGTGCGGCGGCATGGCTGGCGGCTGGGAGTGGCAGCGCCACGCGCAAGCGGTGGAGGAGAGCGGCGCAAGCGCAGAGAGACGGCGCGGGTGAAGGTAGCGGCTCCCCCGGGCGGCGCTGCGTTCGCTGCTGCGGCGCGCTGTCGCGAGTGCGCGGCGGATGCGAGCGCACGGGGTGTAGAGGAGCGTGCTGCGAGGTTGGAGAGGCGCGCTGTGCTGTGCTGCGCTGCGACGGCGACGACAATGAGGCAGAGGGCAGATGCGTGCAGACCGAAAGCTGGCGAGTGGGCGGCGCCGGCAGCAGATGAGCGCGGCGGCGGGCAAGTGGTGGGCTTCTCGCAGCGCGCGGAGTGCGGCGACTTACTTCGCCAGCGGCGGCAGAGGAGAGCGCGCGGGCAGGCCAGAAGCGAGAGCGCGGATGCGGCTGGCAGGTGCAGCGGTACAGCGGATCGCTGAGGCCGAGGCTGAGGCTGCGGCTGCGAAGGCGGTGGCAGAGGGTGGTGAGAGAGAGAGAGAGGAGCGTACCCCGCCAAGGGACTGGGAGCCGCGAGCCGCTCGAGCGGCGACAGCGGCGGCCGATGCAAGCAGCTGCAGGCGCTGCATCAAGACGGCGAGTCGAGGCCTGCATCGCTGCGCGTCACCCGCCGCGCGTCCGGCGCCGGGCCCGATGCCTTCGAGCGGCGCTGCCGTGCGCTTGCTGCTGTCCAGCATCTGCGCGTGTGGCTGCGCGGCCGGTCTCGACTCTCGACTCGCGTGAGCAGACGCAGCACGCCGCCGCCGCACGCACCGAGAGGAGACGCCGAGCTTCCGGCTCTCCTTGCCCGCTCTTTGATGATCTCCCGCCGCCGCGTGCCAAAAACAGCCTACACGGCGCAAGTGCCGTGGCGGCAGACGCGGCACTCTCGGCCCCCTCGCCCTCCTCGGACGCGCGTGCGGGACGCGAGCGGGCGCCTCGCGCGGCTCCGAGAGAAAGAGCGCGGCTGCGGGCGCAGGAGAGGTGCTCTCGCCGCGGCCGCCGGCGTGCGTTTCTTGGCCGCCTCTCAGCGATCTCGCCGCCCTCTGGCGCGCCAAGCATCAGCCTAGGGTAGAGTACAGCAGCGCAGCAGCGTCTCCTCTCACGTACTCACCGCCGTGCGCCAGCAGCAGCGATGCCAGCGAGGCCAGCGACCGCAACGCTGCGCGGCTCCTGGCGAATGCCACCGGCGCACAAAGCGCTCTTGGCTCTGCACGGCTGCTCCAGAAGCAGGCTGCGTGCTGGTGCTGCGGCCTGCACCGCTGCGGCCGCCTGCACGTCGGGCAGCGGCCATCGCTCGTGCTGCGCGGCTGTCGGCCGTCACCCGCGTGCGTGCGCGTGCGTGCGTGCGTGCGTGCGTGCGGAGCACGTTTTTCCGCCCCCGCTCTCCTCCAACACCGCCTCCTCTGGAGCATGTCTGGCGGGCGGTGCGGTGCTCGGCCTCCTCATTCCTTCCGCACCCGCGGCAGCACGCAGCACGCAGCCTAGCAACCCTCCTCCGCCCGTCGCCCGCGCCTCTCAGCTCGATAGTGGCACCCTTGTGCTTGATGACCTCTCGTCGTCAGCGCTCTTACGTGCGCGGCGGACTACGCGGCGGCCGCCGCCGGTGCAAGCGGCGACCTTCGCACGCAAATGGCGACAAGAGGCACTTCCGTGCTGCACTAAGGGGCGACGGCACGACCTCGGCAGGGGGTGCTCTTTGCTCGCGAGAGAGTGCACACTCGACTTACATCTCGGCGCTGCCACGGCAACCTAGACAGCGCCAGCTAGTGTGCTGAGGGCTCTCGTACCTTTGGCGTGGCGCTCCGTCTCCCGTTTTGGTGCCCGCGCTTTGACCTTCGGCAGGAGCGCCCGCTGCCCAACATTGAAGCCGCTCATTTGACTTGCGGAGCTCGCTGCCGTAGAGTGTTGCTGCGGCTAGGAACAAAACGACGCAGTCGTTCCGGCATCGGTTGCCAAAGACGGGTCGCGGACCCAAGACGCCGCTGCGGACGTGTCAAGAGAGCCGCGGCGCGAGGAGCAGCCAGAGGGGTGCGGTTGCCTGCTTGCCTGCTTGCCTGCGGCTGTGGCGGGGGGCGGGGCAGCAGCGACACAGCAAGGAAGGAAGCGCCGTCGCAGCCGTCAGCGCCGCAGCACGAGCATTGCAGGCGCGGCAGCCCGCTGCGGTGGGCCATCTTCTCGACGGGGGGGG